TTATATTATAAGATAGTATAATGTAAGTAAATAGGTACTATCAGTGTATGTTGAGATCCACTATCGTGGACTCCCATTTTCATTTGATGGACCCCCCATTTTTTTTTTCGCTGGCGTAGATCCCTTGCAGGTTGTCATAGACCCCTGGGGGTCGATATAGACCACTTTTGGAATCACTGACTTATACTCTTTGGGTAATTATGGAAACTACAAATATTCCGTATATACTAAACTATATATATGATAAATACTTGGCAAGATAAAAATTATCATTGGCACCACTTAATCTATTCATTCCTACAATAACTGTATAGTACATCATACCTCGCATAGTACGATTTCAAACTGCCAATTCAATTTCAATATCTTCAGGAACTAATAGTTGGTTGTTTCGCTTGTCATACATTTATATCTTATGTCACATTATTACAATAACATTTGAATATTCATTAATAATTAATTTAAAAAAATATTTATCAAAAAAAATCTAGAAATTGAAGTTTTATTTTAAATTTATTAATAAAGCAATTCATCTTTATGATAATACAAATGGGTTAATAAGAGAAAAAAAGGACAATTAAATGGACGGAATGAAGAGATGATCCAACAACCCTACTTCACATATATAATAAATATCTATGTACTCACAAACATTTAGTTGTTTCTAAATCTGTTGGGTAAATCTTGCGGATTGAATCTCTTTAGTGTTCGACGATGATTTGCTGTATGCATCAGCGACGTAGCCAGTTGGTTTGTGATGACCTTAGCCACCTTATCTTCCTTAACGAAACTGATGTTAGCTTGATTGTGGATGTCATCATTTGTGTAGCATCATGAAGTATTATTAATTTCTCAGAGTTTTCGACTGTAATATCTGTATAATATCAATGCTGGTGTTACAGGCAAATTTCTAAAGCGGCATTCAGCTTAGGGAATGTGCCATGTTGGTTTTAAGATGGCCCTTATACAGCAGCACTTTGTTTTCTGTCGAGATGCATGAGTGTCTTCCCAATAACCAGTCTAACCCTTAAATTGAGCAAAGATTAAATATTATACAGTAGTTTAAGATAAATTGTAATTAAATTACAAGGAAATAAATAAATAAACATTGAAAAATGATGAAGTTTCGTTGCAAATAAAGCCACGAAACCTCCGCCTGCATTAACATAATAGCTTATCTCCAGCACACCAGACGATGGTAATTCATTTGGCTGTGCGACCTCCTGAAATAATAATAATAGACAGCCCATTGTGCTCGTTCGCCTGCTGCTAAATTTTCTGAAACCCTTGAATATTTCATACCCGACATGACTGTATTATATATACATATATTTTAACCGGAATTTTATTTAATTTTCTCCTATTTTATTATTGACCTTCTCTTTTTTGTCGTAACCATCCCCCTGCGGGATAATCTACCGCATCCGTTGAATATTCAATGGAGTCAACCAGAACAGAGTGAGGGCAGGAACTAACAACAACATCAACGACTGAAAAGTCCGCGACGTTAATTGGGCTCTGACAAGTTTAAGGTTAAATTACAAAGCCCTTCCACGATTCACCCCTTGCACTCTCTCACTCTCTTGACGTTCATCTTTGATACGGTGCATCCAGTTATTTCAATTGGAATTCAAATTCAGACTCGCAGTTATTCGCATCGCGAGTCTCGCATTTCTTTTTTTCTCTCTCGTGCTATTCCTATTGTGTGCGCGATACAGAAGAAAAAGAGCCTCGTTCGCCTTTCATTATGCATCTTGAACGCAATGTGGGGCAAATATTTTATCCTGAATTGTTACATGTGGTTCATACTAATTCTCTGGAGTGTAATATGTATTCATTAACATTCAAGATTATATTATAACTTTTAAGAGTTTTTGTAGAACTTTCAAAATATTTTTTTACATTATTATATACATTTTTACAGGAATAAGTATAATATTTATTGTAACAATTATACAATAATTTGATTAATAAAATTAAATGAAGTTTTACAACTACAATTTCCGAATTAAGAAATAATAATTTATACTTTAGTTATTAATAATTTAAAAATTAGTTTCCATTTTGATACATATATTTGTTATAATTATAGAAAATATACTTGCATCAAATATATCATATTTTTCTTTCTAATTCTGCATGATAAAGCAGTTATATTTGTTAATACATATTGTATACTTTTTGAATAAATAATAATAATATTTCATGTTTAGAGGGCATAAAATGTTGCATCCTCATTATGTATGGTATGAGAAATGAATGGATATCTGGTGTACCGAATAATATTTTTATGCAGTTCAAACTGTCAAATTTGGTATTATCCATGACAACGAAGTTAGAAGTTGGTATGCTTGACAGGTAATCTATAACAAATATTAATAACTTTTAATATTTAATTCTCAAAGACTTATTCATTTTGAAGATATATTTGAAAGTGTTTTAAAAGAGATAATTTGATTAACTCTTTTTTTCTTACTACGGTTAATTTGAAAAATGTGCGCACTTAAAAAGAGATGGCGTCCACCGAAATTAGTACTTATGATCGCGAGACTTCTCTGACGTGGAAATGGACTAATTTCATTTTAGGGTCCGCTGCTAGACGCTGTACGTATCAAAAAGGGTTAAGTGCTCATAAATCATGTCACCACTTACCATTATTAAATGAGAGTGAGTGAGATAGAGAGAGAGAAAGCGGTGGATGGCCTTTTCGAATTTGATTCGTTAATGCACGCCGCTGACGTTTTCTCTAATTATTATGGACTGCTTTGATTGAAATGTGTCCTCGGTTTGTGTGTGTTTCAGCTGCTTCTGGAGCATTTAGAATGTCTGGTGTCGAGACACGAGAGGTCCCTCAGGATGACTGTGGTGAAGAGACAGGCGGCAGCCCAGTCCGGCGTTTCCAGCGAGGTCGAAGTCCTGAAGGCGCTCAAGAGCCTGTTCGAACATCACAAGGCACTCGATGAAAAAGTAATTGGATTTTTTCACCGTCCCCTTTCGAAACTTGACGAAGCTATCCTCTCTTTATCATAATTGCATTTCGTTTTGCCAACAGGTCAGGGAGCGGTTGAGGGTAGCGCTAGAAAGGAACTCATCCTTAGAGGAAGAATTAGCTTTAACCAAAGAAGAAGTAAGTTTCTTTTCACAAGTCATCTTTAAATATATGTTTAAAAAAATATTTGTTTAATGCTAGCAAATGTATACATAATCTATTAAGTTTTGCTTTCAAAATATCTTGAACTATTTTATAATATTTTTTTATTTTTTTTTGTTACTTTAAGTCTTGTAAACTTAAGTCAGGTTAGGTTATATATCAAAAATTTTGGATTTGTTTGTTAGGTTAAAGTTGTCTCAGATTAGGTTAAGTATTTTTTATATGATATTACGTTTAAAGCATTGTCTAGTAAATTTTGGACAAGTATGAAATATGGTTTATTTATTGGATTTTTATTGTATGTTGTTGATTTTTATAGTTGCAACAATATAAACTCGGAGGTCCACCCTCCAATGTACCTGCAGTAGAAGATAAACCCAAAGAAAATGGCCAGATTGAAACAGGGGACCAAGTCACTAATAATTCTGCATCACTTAAGGTAATTTCCAACAACCTCAACCCTCACCAACATCAGAGTAAGAAACCAACAAAATTAACACTCCAGGAGCAGAGGCTAAGCGATACTTTTACTTTTCTTTTCCTCTTTTTCGTTTACTTTGAACGTTTAACGGGCATGATGTATGAGCTTCTTGATGTACTAAAAGGAAATTGTAAACTATACGTGGGATTTGCATTCCGATTAAGCACTTCGCTCGACCATAAACGCTGATAGAATAATGCTCGTGGCTGTAAGTCTCCTCCTCCTTCTTTCGCCAACTTTGGCCACGAAACGCGAGGAGAAAAAGTAAGGAAGGATGGGAAGAATGTTAAAACAAAACTACTTCGACCGGAGTTTCGGAAGTTCGCCGAGTTGCCTGAGAGTTATTATACGTTGCGTTGCGGCAGGCACCGATAAGTATTCAGCCGAATTTATTTTCAATTGTAATTTTCGCCGCAATCTCCATTTTCTTCCAACCGAAAGTCGCATCAATATTTCATGAAGGAGGAGAGGGAGACCTATATTAATGAAAATTCCGGTAACTGTGGGCGTCTATGATGTACGCCTTTCGACGTATAATTTTCGACGATTTAATTACCTTTCTATTATTATTGCGCCCCTTACACACACAATACTGATTACTTTATTGGATGTAGGTTTCATTTCATTTGAATACATTTCGGATGAAAACTCCTTTCAGCATGAAATCAGACTCGCATTCAAAATGTATTGTATCAACATTTGTAATTTCAACAATTCAATTCAATAAATAATTTAATTTATCATCATTTGAATTACCTTTTCATAGTTTTTTTTTGCTTTTCATAAATGTAAAATTCACATAGATTTGTTTATGAAATGATTTTAACTTTTAAAAGCAATATAAAATTCTCTATTGACTGTCATTTTTAATTAATTTTTGTAATTTATCAAAAGCTGTCAGAAAATTAATCAACAAATCAATTCAAATTGAATTTCTTTTCACCTATTTTATATTTTATACAATTAGATTTTTTAATAAAATATTGAATATTAAATTTAAAAAAATCTTTATTAAAGATATTTCAAGATTATTTATCTGAAGGAAGGAAATGTTTACAGTAGATTTTTTACATAAATATAATATCTTGTAAAATATCATATTCGGCTGTATTTTCTTTATATTTTTCTTAATCATTATGAATGTACAGGATTTGATAAATTGACTTAAATTGTGTATATTCATGTAATTTTTCGTGTTAAAAAAAATGTATGTAATGGTATTTGTAACTTTCGAATAAATCATAAGTGGTATGAGATAGGGTGCAAAACACGTTTAGTAATTTACATTCGGTAACAGAGTGTGTGTATCGTGGCGCAGGTTGGAAGTGAGTTAACAGCCCGAGATTAATGAATCTCGAGATTTGAATAAAAGAATAGCGTTTGTGGAAAGGCCGACAGTGGCGGAGGTGAAGTGATTAATCTGTAAATGCAATTTTCCTACATCCACATACACGTTTATAACACAATTTTCTTCCGCTTCTCTCTCTCTTTTTCTCTATTTATATTTATATCTATATTTATTTTTGCGTCGGTGTATTACATATTTACATATACTACTGTGAATTTGTGTAACAGAGAGCGGCTTTTCTTGTTATTATTATGATTTTATTACTACTACTACCGATTTTTTTTTGTTTTCTCTGATGCGAGTGATACTTCGCACTCATTATGCATGCAATTTGAAATTTTGATGTTGTGTGATGTGGCATGTTGTGTGTGGAAATGCAGGCTTCTGGGAAACCTAGGCTGACGAACGGCGGCGTCGATTCGGATACAGATAGCGCGGCTCGTATTGCTGACCTGCAGACAGCCCTCGAACAACAGGTAAAACACATCATTCCTATGCACAAGAATTCAAAGAAATTAGTACATGTTCGATGAAAACACAGAACAGACGATTTGCTGGATTTAGTAGTTATAGTATTCAGCAATGCTAACCATATACCGTGTTTGTTTTGGTGTGTCTGTGCAGACTGGAGAGATTAGCACGTGGCAGAGGAGAGTGGCCGAGATGACGAATCGCGTCGGGGAACTAGAGGAGAACCTGGCGAAGACGCAGAAGGACCTTCTGAAGGCGCAGGACTCTAATTCGAAGCTGCAGCGCGACCTTTGCGAGAACGTGGCGCAGAAGGGAGACCAGGAGGAGCGGATCGCCACCCTCGAGAAGCGCTACTTGAGCGCGCAGCGCGAGTCTACCTCGCTGAACGACCTCAACCAAAAACTGGAACAGGAGCTGCAGCATAAGGAAGCGCAGCTGAAGGTGAGTCTCGAGGATGAAATATGATTATGGTGCAAACGTTCGTTAATATTTCAGTTGCAAGATGAGAAGATCGCAGCTATCCAAGAGAAGCTGGAACTGGCTGAGCAGAAGCTTGCTCAGTACTCGAAGTTACCGGAGATGGAGGAGCAGCTGAAGCAACGCATGGAGGCGTTGACGCAGGTGAGGAGTCAGGTACGCACTCTCTCAGCTCACTTATATATTCTCTATATTTGTTTTACTACTCTATGTCTTCTAGCACCTCTATGAAATATCCCACTATCATTTATTTTTTTTATGTACACTTAGATGTGATCATTATTATTAGGTTGTTTCACATGAAATGTTACGTTCTTTAAGCACCAATAGAACCATGTAAACTCAAGCTTTCCTCTAATACATTCAAAATTTAAAAAAAAAAAATCAATAATAGCCCAACACTTATTGTAGTTAATACAATATATGCATATAAAATATTTTTAGGAATTGCACCTCTTGAAGAAAAATTAGTTTTCTATTTACTAATTCCCTTTCACTTATTTATTTGAATAATATTTTCTAATTTGACAAATCCAGTCTTTCCTTTCTAAGTTTTTAAAATAATTATATTATCGGTACAGAATTGATTCATAAAATCAGTTTTCCAAATTAATGCTAAATTACATAGATATTGGGTTATTTATATTATTTTAATAATGATAATTAGGTGTAGATCAAAATCACTTTTTTTTCATACAAATGAAATGGTTTTAAACTTACACACTTTATTGAATTTGAATTTAATAATCCTTTAAGATTTTATATCAAATTTGTCAATCACAACTATGCTAAACTAAAACGTAAAAATATTAACTATTAATAAGTTATCATTTTTCTTTCCAACTAAGTTCTTCGTTGAGATTGAAAATTATTGATGTTATGAAATATGATTTTGAGTTATTCTAATCATTTTTTGAACATTTCATGTGTAAGAACCTGGTATTCTTTTTATTTTTTTGTTGTTGTTGTAAGAACGGACGAAATGATTGTTGAACAAGCGCTATGTGTTTAGAGTTGCTAACAGAAAGAACAAAAAATCTATTAAAAGCGCTTTTGTTGTCTAGAAGCTTAGTGAAATAGAAGTGAGCCCCGAGCAGTGCTGAATAAAACTATTGAGATTAAGAAATAACCATTTATTTTTATTTGTCGATTTCCATTTTTTTTTTATTATTATTATTAATCCAGTAATGATTATGATTTTTCGCATGTGCATTTGTTGATTCCGTGTTGATGATGGGTTATTCACTTGATATTTGCAAATTGTTTTCCGCTAGGCTCAGGAGAGACACGGGTCGGCAGAGGACAGAATCCAAAGATTGGAGGCGAACCTTGATGAGAAGAACGCGGAGCTCGTGCGATTGAACCAAAGACTTAAGATGAACGAGGACCACAACACGAGGCTATCTGCGACGGTGGATAAACTGCTGTCAGAATCGAATGATAGGTTGCAAGTGCACCTGAAGGAACGCATGCACGCGCTTGAGGAGAAGAACAACCTTACGCAGGAGCTGGATAAGACGCGCAAGTTCATGGAGCAGCTAGAGATGCAGAAGTCTGAGATCATGAAGGAGCTGGCCAAGTCCAGGTTGGATATTGATAACGTGAAGCGGCAGATGCTGCACCAGGAGATTGCGCACAAGATTCAGCAGACGGACGCTCTGACCAGGAGCTTATCTCCGAACGCCGTGGATCCGAACAGTTTCTCGAGAAGCGCAAGCCACTCCAGCTTCGACACGCATTCCTTGCCGAGGAGATCGAACAAATCGCGTACCCCCATCGACGATGACCCCAACAAGATGTCTTTCGCAGTACGTTCCATGGCGGAGCAAGAATGGGAGAAAATGCAGCAGGCCAACGTTCTAGCTACCGTGCAGCAAGCCTTCGACGTCTCCAGCGACGTCGAGTGCGACGACAACGAGAGCCTCTTCAGCAATGCTGATATGATCTCTCCGACGGGGCACACCGATGCCCAGACCCTTGCTATGATGCTACAGGAGCAGCTGGACGCCATCAACAACGAGATCCGTCTCATCCAGGAGGAGAAGCAGAGCACTGAGGCTCGCGCCGAAGAGCTAGAGTCCCGGGTGGGTAGCATGGAACACATGAATCTGCTGGTCAGGGGCAGAAGTCTGGAGAGGCAGAGCCCGCCGGTGAGCGGCCGATCTACCCCCAAGTCGCACCACTCCCCGCAACGGGACTACTTGCACAAATACCACACGGTAAGTGCCACCCATAAAATACCGAAACTCGATTCTTTTTTTTCTCACGCTCTCTTTCTCTTCCATTATTTTGAATGGACAGTTTCTTCTGTCTTCTTATTTCGTTCTTTCTTAAATTTATATAACTGTGCTCGTTTGCGTGATTTATATGTACTCTACAATCACTTTGAAAGCAATTTATCCACCACGTGATTATTTTCAACACAAAACCGCACCAAGAACACTTCTATTACAATTTACGCTTACTTTTTCAATCTTCCAAATAGATCCAATGCTATAAGTACACATTTAAAATATTACATTATTTAGCTAATGTATCTATATAGATTTATAAACAAATCTATTTTATTAAATATATTTAATTTAAACAAAAATGAGCATTGAATTAAACGGAAAACAATTTTAGAAATTCTACTTGCAGAAATAAATGGAGGAATAATCCTAGAGTAACCCTACCTATTAATTAGTTATAGTCGGTTTATAATTGAAGCTTAGTTTCATTTTCTCCTATTCTTTTCCGGAATCTACTGTAATCTAGTTAATTAAAACTAAGTTCATTAATTTGCTACTCTAATTACACTACTATGCTAATACATGAATATAGTGAGTTTATATTTAAATTTATTCTTTCAATTAGGTTATGTTAAGCCAACGGAGCGCATTAAATTTGATCTACAAACGATCACTTGATCAATATACTCACACCGGATTATAGACAATACCAAATACATATGATTCCGGTTAATTGGCTATAATATACAACTTTGCTCGAATTGAATATCTGTCCCAATTATGTAAAGTTCATGGGTGTTTAGTCAATTGGTTTACTATTATGTAAATATTAGTAATTCATTTTTATGTATTGATTACTAAATACTAAATATAAAAAATAATAATTTATGTACTAGAAAAGTATATTTATTTAAATTATATAGATTTAAATAGTAATTGAATGGAACTTTGTTAAAATTGTGTACAAATATGGAAAGTTTATTTTACATGCAGCTTTCCGTCGAACAGAACTTCCATTCAGAAGCCTGCAAACTATTTATAGTAGGCCGAGAAGGTTTGTTTACTTCTTCTTTCGCATCCAGCAATAATATTTGTACTATAAAATGCACTACACGTCCGTGTTTATTATTTCATTCAATTATGCCGCACGAAATATTACGTAAATACAATCTTTTATATCGCTGGAAAATACGGAGAAATTGCAGTTCGTTGAATCGCGCCACGTTTAATTATTGACAATAAAATAAAATGCAAATTATATTTACACTCAAATTGAGTTATTTATAGAAATTTCAAGTTATAACTTATGTTTTTTAATTGTAATTAATTTTGCTTTTATCACTTGTATCTCAATACAAGTTTATGGATCAATTTTGATTTAAAAACTAAATTCAGTCAAAGCTTTTCATCAATTGATTAAGACGGTATTATTCTTGTAGATAAGAATTTATGTAAGTTTTGGTCATGAAATTATTTGCTAAAGCTTAAGGAAATTGAAGTGTTTATACTTCATGCTATTAATAAGTTACTTGAAAATAAGTGTATTTTTAAATTTAATCTGGATATTAGTAATACGTGGCAATATTGAATTTAATTTTATTTTTAGTATCAATTAAAAATGAAACAATGGCCTTTTGGCAATAACAAAGTTGAAGTTTTAATAATTTATTAAGATGATTTAAGAAGTAATTGAATTAATCCGTGGTGGATAAAATGTACGAGATTGGTCCTACGCAAAGGTTAGTCCTCCAAAAGTTACGTCTATAAATATAAATAAGCCGTAGGTGAGGTAACAAACATTAAGAAATCGAATTTACGATCGTTCTTGCCCATGATTTTTTCTCTATGTTCTTTTTGAGTGTGTGTATTCTGTTCTCATGCATGCAAATTTCATTTGTACATTGCTCATAATTTGGTGGATTCTCAATAACAAAATGCCGACGCTGGGCGCGACTGCACACACGACGATGCTATTAGGCGCCAGCCTCAATGTCTCCAGCTCATTTACAACAGTATCACGGAATTATGAGTCCCGGCGCCTTATCCGAGTCACTGCCCAACAGTCAGGTTTGTTATATACACCAAAACAACAACAACAACAAATACAAAAATACCAACAAAAAAAAAGTGAAATATCTGTATAATCAAAGCAAGAAATCCAGTAACTGTAATGCATCATCAAGTGGCCCTCAATACTTCAAGCCAAGACCATTGAAGAAGTAGCAAATATAATCAATGTAAACCTACCATATTGACACCTCTGCTTATGATACGATAAAGAAATAGAAAGTTTCCGGAATGTACATTTCTTTCTCATATTGCCACCGACAAACAACATCTACTACTATTGCAATAACAACAGAAACATTGTTACAACACCACACTTACCGACACTCTGATCACGTTCAATAGTCAAGTTTGTTTTTGTACCAAAACATCAAATGGTACTTTAACCATGCATTGCCATAACACAAAGAAATAGCAAATTTCCGGAACGTTAATTCCTTTCTTCTATTACAAACTACATGTATTATTATTATTAGAAATATAAAGAACAACAGGAACATTGATACACAAGAACAATAACAGAAACATTGATACAGCATCACACCTGCCTACACTCTGATCACGCATGCATATTTGTATTGTATTCTCTAGTTGATCTCTCAAAATGTGTTTCTGTGCTCGAGCTAAAAATCCGATCGGAACATAATTGCATTCCCATCCTCCTCTCTGTTATTTGTTACATATCTCTCTTTCTCTCTCACTCGGTATGCGTGTGAGTGTATGTATGCATGTGTGCGTGCGTTCGGTGCGGACTTATTTTTAACGCTTCCGCGTGTGTTTTCCTTCTGGCTCTTTCCATTCGGACCGTCAGCTGCAGCTTGCACCGATTACCTCGGAGATCTCGAGAGAGGAAATGCTGATGGGCGACAACAACAGCAGCAGCGGAGGAGGCGCCTCCCCGTTGACCGCGCGTTCCCTTCGGCTCGAGAAGGTCGCCCTGGTTCTGGCACACAGTCAGGAGGAGCTCAGGAAGTAAGTACAACACTTTTCTTTAACTCTTCCTCTACTTTGACTCGATTTAACGACTAACTGAACTGAACTACTAAACGTTCGGCCCATATTCACGGTGCTATTTGTGTAATGCGGAAATTTAAATCGGCAGAAGGACCGGTGCCAGCGGAATGCCTACCGGCGTCTCCACCTTCAGGTTATTTACTGAATTCTATTTTACTATCACGTTGTGTTTTAGTTACTTTTTATTTTGTTTTAATTATTTATTCGCACTTTAAAATTTACTACCACGTTGAGTTTTACTTTTTTTTTTCAAATTTTAATTTACTATTAGTTTTACGCATTTTCCAAAGAATCAAAAAAGCCTTGTAAATTTTGTTTTTTATTTAACTATTTTTAAAAGCAATTGTTCGCAATCAAAATCAATCAGTATATTAATATTAGCAATCATATAAATTCATCAATTTCTCAATATTTGTCGTATTTTCAAGTAACCAAACATTTTAAAATTACAAAAAAAATACAAACAACTACCATTCTATAATGCTATAATTAAAAAAAAACAATAGTTTCTTGATTTTAAATATATTTGTGGAATTTTTATGAAAGAAAAAAACGTTAAAAGTTTAAGGGGAAATAGATTTTTTTTTCAGTTTTTTTTTTAAATTGTAATGAGAAGATTTGAGAATAAATGAAATATGTATCAATTTGTTTTGTAATTTACCATTTAACATATTAACGACAGCCTTGGAATTTAGTAAAACCTATAAAAATGGTAGTCGTTTAAGGTCACATTTGTTAAAAAATAAAAATAATTGCGGCAATCAGCTCATTTTCTATGTATCACGTTAATTGCTTTATTTATGCTATAAATTTTATTATTAATTATAATTAATAATAATAACTTCAAGAGAATTACAAATCGCTATTATTATTAATTAATTAATTAATTAAATCTGAATATTCGATTATTTCGTACAATGAAAACTGAAATGATGAAATTAATTAACAAGTTTTTGTAAATTTGCTATTATATACATATTATATACTATTATAATTAGAATTTATTACATTATTGGAAACTAAGTTATCCATTCTATTGAAAATACATTACATAAAAAACATGATTACTAATTGTCAATGCGTGTACGAGATAAAAATTGATTACGAAAACGATTTTGATTGCGAGCTGTTCTTGTATATTGAAGCATGTTTTTTTGCGAATTGAAATTATTTACTTTCGTATGTAATGTGTGCAAAGTATGCGCTTCGTGTGCTCGTCTAGAAATAGTTTTAGTAGTAGATGAGTGTGTTTAGGCAAGGGCAGACACCGCCATCACCTCTATCCTCTCGTCATAGTAGCCAGGAGAGTCTTCACAAGAATCCAATGAGCGGAATCACGCGAGAATCTGCAGCGGCAGTAGCGGCAGCAGCTGCGGCCCAGAAGAAGAAGGGTATCAAGTCATCACTAGGCAGATTCTTCAGCAAAAAGGAGAAGGTATGTTGATTGTTACTTTTTTTACTTTTGATTGGTTATTTTTTGGATTTGTGTTCGCAGGCCAAAGGAAAGGATGTGGGTGACAGCAATTTGAGTTTGAGCCAGGCGAGCATCGGACTGGCCGATGGTGAACTCAGCGATTCAATGAGCATATCAGGAAAGATGGGCCAGAAGGGCGATTTCGATAGAAGGCAAAAGAAAAAGTACATCCCGTAAATCCCCTTTCTCTACTATGTAGCTTTAATTATCTATTAGTTTTAAAGTCAGTTATATACTATGAGATACTTGTACAAGTGCCTTCACAAGTATCACATGGTAAACCGGCTTCCTTCTTATCTATTTCTTCTATGTCTTATATTTAATTTGCATATTTCATTTTCTTATAATCAAAATAATCCTTCAAAAAGACTTTACATTTGAAAATTCTTAAATCTAGAAACAATAGATAAATACTCAAGTATTATTAGATACTTTCAACTTTAATATTTAGTATATAACTTTAGTTCACACAATCACCATTTCACAATCACATGATACTTGCCGAGTAATTTGTACGAGTACTGTCAAAAAATTGGTTGTTTATCAATACTTTCTGATATGAATTTCTTGTACTTGAAATATTTGTCAAGTATCACGTAGATAAATGAGCATTTCATATCTTATTTCATGCTTCTATAATATTTGAGAAACTCCTGAAAAAAAGACATTAGATTTATATTTTCAATTTACTTCCATAAGTGCATGCATTTATATGAGTATTATATATGTTAACCTAAAGATGACAATACTGAATGTTACTGGTAAAATCAGTTTAGTGTTGGATTTGAAGAGCGATCGTAAAATGCTCTTCTTTGCAGCTTTCATTTGCACATCCGTTTAGGAGGTTGCGTTTGCGGAAAACTCGACTAAAGATATGCCATAGAAATCGCTAGTGTAAATGGTATAAATCTGCTGCAGATATTGTATGGAATATTCTATTGTCTGGTGGTGGAGGGTCGTTTCCTTTAACCCGCGTATAATGGAGTTTCTCGAGTGCATTATAACAGTTTATTTCGCATCCTTCGAGTATTTTCCGAATTCTAATGTACATTTTGTTGTGGTTACCATGCAGGGATCGGGATTACAGGCACGAGCTGCTCGGTGAAGCGATGAAAGCTGGAACGCCGTTTGCCCTGTGGAACGGACCGACGATAGTTGCATGGTTGGAGCTGTGGGTTGGAATGCCGGCATGGTATGTTGCAGCCTGCAGGGCCAACGTCAAGTCCGGTGCAATCATGAGCGCCCTCAGCGACACCGAGATCCAACGTGAGATAGGAATCAGCAATCCTTTGCATCGCCTGAAGCTGCGTTTGGCCATCCAGGAGATGGTTTCCTTGACGTCTCCGAGCGCTCCGAAGACGTCGCGCACCACCTTGGCCTTCGGCGAGATGAACCACGAATGGATTGGTAACTACTGGTTACCCGCACTCGGTCTTCCACAGTATCGCACCACCTTCATGGAGTGCTTAGTGGATGCCAGGATGCTCGATCATCTGACCAAGAAGGATCTCAGGGGACAATTGAAAATGGTCGATAGCTTTCATAGGCACGTGCATCATCTTCGGTTTGTTTTGCGAATCGCAGTTGTTATTGTTTTCTTGTTTGCAGGACTAGTCTTCAGTTCGGTATACTGTGTTTGAAGAGATTGAATTACGATAGGCACTTGCTAGAAGATAAAAGGAAAAATTCAGAAAACACTCTGTCGGATGTTCTGGTTTGGAGCAACGACCGATTAATGCGATGGGCTCAATCAATTGGTTTACGGGTAAGTACATTTTTGCTATATTTAACTTTTTTCCCTTTCTATAATTAAATATTAAATGAATTTCAACAATTCTGATACAAAATTATTACATTTTTCAATAACTGCAATGAATTTTCGTTACAACTGACACAATTTCCAAAATGTAGCTTTTAAAAATGGTCAGCTGGAACAAGAAATGGTATTTTTAATGTTGTTGAAGACAAAAAAAGAAATTGCAATTGCAATGAAAGACAAACTGAAGAATTAGTAACACATACTAGCGAAACAGATGTCCTTTATAAAACATGTCGCTTATATCGATAATTCACTGCATTTATTGGAACATGCCTCTTCCAGTTATACAGTAATGATTCTATTACCATTATGAAAGTTAAGCTTCGAATCCATTGTATATAAGGATAAATCTCGATACAACTTCAAAATATATGGAACCGGAAATAAACGAATATAATTAAGTTGTTAAAGTTTATTTTGAGAAATTGTCTCTTAGACTTCATCATTTAATTGTTGTCATAGTAATCATTGTTGGTTTTAAATTCAGGTGTAGTGTAAAGTATAAATTTTGTCATATTTGTATACTTAAATTTATTTTTCATATTTTTATACCTCCTTTGGTTGAGACTTATTTCAATAAGCAGTTTTTTATTGTCATATTTTTTCTTTGAAGGCTATTGAAGGAAACTTGGATGAAAAGAGAATGATGAAGACAATTTTGTACAGAAAGTTGGATTAATCATGATTCAAGAGGAAATTATGATGAAAGTGGAAATGTCACAAAAAATCTAATTTCTAAATGCGTTGTTGTTATTAACTTTGAATGTTTGTATTTTGTTTCAGGATTATTGTAATAATTTGATGGAGTCGGGCGTTCACGGCGCGTTGATAGCCTTAGACGAGAACTTCGATGCGAACAGCATGGCGTTAGCATTGCAAATACCGACGCAGAACAATCAAGTGAGTCTTCTTAGAAAGCCACGTTTTATCTTATTAATCGTGTCTTTTTCCGCTTATCCCGTGTTTCAGGCTAGACAACAATTGGAAATGGAATTCAACAATTTGCTGCGCATCGCCCGAGAACGCCATCCCGACGACATGAGCCGGTCCTGATATGGGGCCTCGGCATACCAGTAGTGCTACCTCCCTCTCGTCGCCATCATCCTGTCCGACAAGAGCTTTAACCTGTATCGTAATAGTATTATCCTGTACATTCAAGTTGTTGTTCTTCGTTGGGGTTTTCCGGCAGCGCCAGTCAGTATTAAACACGCGTGTGCCTGCTGCCAGCTTGTAGACACTATTCTGTTGCCGAGTAGATAGTACAGATCCGGGCCCAACCATCAAAGCATCTCTTATCCTTCCATCCTCATCCAAAGCCCCAATCACCACATCTCCTCCTCCAAACCACATCTTCATCCAAATCTAGGGAAAGTCATCCCCATCCTCCTTCAACCATCAGTTCTGGGCCCAGGATATGTGCGATCTACACAATTAATTAATTAATAACTAAATGAATAAATAAATAAATGAATGAAATAATAAGAAAGTCGTATAAATATGAAAAGAAGCGTAATGTTATATATAAAAAAAAAATAAACTTATATATATATAAATATTTAAAAGAAACATATACGATCAACAGTGCGGACGCAACGCATCCGACATGACAGTTATTTCCGATTAAAAATTCCATTTTTACCACTGCAGTAATTATTAGCCTCCCAGGACATGTATATATATACACATGGCATTTGTATGTGTGTGTGGATCTGTGTGCACGAGACGAAGGATACAGAAAAAAAAGATATAAATAAGAAGTAAACAAAATATAAAAAGAACAAAACAGTCATTGGAACGTTCTGTATATATTATACAGATAGAGAGATGTGTGTAAGAGATGTGTAAACTTTTTTTTTTCTTCTTTGATTACTTTTAAATAAGTTTTATACCATATTTGTAATATATTTTTACTTGTTATTTATTTTCTCCTCTATTTTTCTTTCTTCTGTTTTTTTTTGTGTTTGTTTGTTTGTTGGAGACGATGAGACAAGTCGAAGATGGACGGAAATAAAATGAAATGATAAAAAAAGTAAATACGATGAAGATGTGGAAGCAAGAAAATGAAGAAGTAATATCTATTGTGCTTATACATATATATAAACCTTGTTATTAACATGCAGAGTCTTACGCTCTGGGAATGATTGTCATTACTCGTAATTGATCTATTAATAATAGTGTTAATTTATGTACATTGTATTATACATACATGAATATAACGGAAACTCGATCATTAACACCTCACCACCTATTTACCATTAATAAGAATACATTAAATTTTTGCATCGCTTTATTTCTGTTTACCCTTATCCTTATTTCCTTGAATTTGTCGTATCTACGATATAAAAATTGGTTTACATTTTTAATTATTATAGAAATATGCTTTTCAGAAGATTGATTATATTTGAAGAATCGCGATTATCAATTTGGAATACATAATTGCTTAAACAATTGATTATTTTACTTAACGAACAATTAAATTTAATGAATCTACCAATTTGTATATTATTTTCAGTAAATATACGAAATTGATTGTATAACTGTTAAAAAAAGGATTACCGCAGAATTTTCTCGTTTCCAATAAATATTAACCCTTTCAAGTCTGATTTTTTTTTAAATAGAAATTATTAAAAATAATGTATTTGGGACTTCATATATGCGGAGATATATTGTCCCAATAGGCTCGAAATGGTTAACTGTCTGAGAGGCTAGAAATTCCTAAATTTCTAGACCAATTTGTTGGGTTGTAGACAACTGAATCAGACAGCTTCATCAACTGAATCAATATCCGATAATATGGCGTATAAAGATTAATATTTTGACATACCAACCAAATTAAATGATAATTCCTCTTTCCTGGACATTTCCTAGAAAATTATAATAATGCCCCACTAGGCATGTTGCAAAAGGTGGGACAATGCGTGTCCCATCGACCCTCAAAGAGTTAAAAAAGTTTGAATATATAAAAATGCTTTACTTTCTCCATGTTGAATTAATTTAATTGATGGGTATAGTTGAGTTCCCCATTTACAAGACAGTTCATAGCACCAACAAATTTACTGACTGACTCTATTGTAATATGCTAATAATTAGGAGACATTAATATAGATATTTATTTGTGGTTGTACATAGACCCAATTGCCTTGACCATAGACCTTGCTTTAACACAAGGTGACAGATGTCATTTCATGGTTCAACGCGACCCACAAGTTGAGAAACGCTGACTTATATTTTTATATTACTCTTTTGTCAATCAAAAGGATAATTCAATTTTAAATAATGTTTTAATATATTTAAAATGTTTAGTTAATGTTTCAATAAGGAAATAATACATTTTGAGATTTAACAAGAATCAAATAAGTTGAAGTAAAAGAATGTTGAACCGTATTTGCATAGTCTTGTTTGCTAAATGTTTCTTTACGACTTTAGAATTTGATCAGATTGTTGAAGTAACATTTATATAAGGTAAATAAAATATTTATATTTTTTTTTAATTGTTGAAGTGATCGTGATTTTTTACAATTTTATAATGTAAATGAATTTATTATAAAGAAGAATTTGGCAGGAAAATAAGCAAGTCTACAATAGAACTGACAGTATTGTTCAAGAGGTAAATGGTTCTGTAAGAAGTGATATAAATATTCTGTAACATTTTAGTACTTCAATATAAAACAAAGTGATTTTATTACTATATTAATTACGAATTGCTTCGTCCTAAGTGAGCTATGTAGTAAACCAATTTAAAAGAATGTGTATATTGGGTTGCCTAAAACTATAATGAAAAAGTAGTATTTTCTCTGCCCTCTATGTTGTTTCCTTATAAGTTTAATAGTTCACCAATGTTACTTAATGTTGTCGCAAGCCCGACAACCGAAAGACCGTCTATTGAAATCCCGGCTGTATTAAAATCCCGACGCTTGAAATCCCGACTATGTCAAAATCCCGAATACCATAATCTCGACAATCAAAATCCCGACTACCATAAAAATGTTATTTTAGAAATTTTTAATAATAAAAGACACTGTCGGGATTTCGATAGACGGGATTTCGGTTGTCGGGCTTGCGATTGCCATCGATATAATATATATATACAGGTTGCTTTTATATTACGATTTTATGATTTAAAAATCTTTCAATGTTTGTTCATTTATTAAAATCTCAGTAGTTCAGTATTTTAATTTTAACTTAAAATAAGACAACATTTTATAAATTCATTAACTAAATTTGAAGTGAAAAATAACAGTTTGATCTATTTTATTTTTATCATAAACTATAGATTTATACTAGATTAATAATAAAGGAAATAATAGAATACCTAAAGGTTTAACAGTTTTTATGTTGTACATATAATATATATATAGACTATTCGCTTTACGAGTTAATTTTAATTAAAAATTAGACTATCTTTTCCGTATTCACAATCTATATTTTGAGAAAAACAATATTTTTTTTTATCTACATTTGTATATGTTCATGGTTTGAAAAGAATCAAGTGTAGTGTTGATTTAATGGCAAGTCTATACAAACTGTAAATATTAGTCATAGGATCAATATTAGAGATGGGTATTGTTTAAATAAATAAGAACGAAAGATAGCTGAAATGAATATCTATTTTATTGTTATACAATACATACATACATATGATTTTCCGCAATTCAAAATACGACGGTGAACGCAAAGATTTAGTACAAAGTAGACGTGTCTCCACTACAAAAGTTAATAAATTATTCGAATTACATAAAATCAGTAACGTATTAGAACATAAAAAAAACAACTAAATTAAACACTTAAGACTCCGTTTCTATACTCATCTTATTTACAGTACTAAAAATATGTTTGTAAAGCTAAACAAAATGGAAACAAAATATATTAAAAAAATAATAATAAATCCATCATTAAGAACTATTGTTAAGTAAAATAAGAAGAAAGAAAAAAAAAACAAAGATGAGAAAAAACGTAATTACTAACACATGTTAAGTAATCATCATGGACATCAAAAATCACATATAAATAATCCCTAAATGTAACAATTACTTTATTTATATAATATATTTCTCTAGTACATAAATGCGCTTTTCCATTTAATTTTTATTCGCTTCAAACGGAAAATATCTGTATGAAGTAGAAATACGGCACTATAACATCAAGCGTTTTTTTCCTTACTTATTTTATATTGTGTTCGTGTGTGAGTGTATGTGAGAGATTCAAGTCAACTCGAAACTGGCATTCTTTTTTTTATTGGGAGAAATCAAAATGAAATTACCTACGTTGAGTGATTAATTAATTATTAGTAGTATTTATTAATATTTATCATCGTTTCATTTTCCCTTCCTTCCATTTCATTATCTTCAATATCTTTATATACACAATTAGAACTAAACTATGAAAAAGAAGCGAAGGCGTACAAATATGGAATGTAATCAGTACATTTTTTTTTGTTAAAGTTTAGTATTAAGTATTATTAGTAAGTATATATTATTATATTTTTTTTTGTTAGTTTCGTTTTACACTCTCTTACATGTGAAGCTTCCATTCTTTAAGTTTAATTACTTCTCTCGTATAAAATAACACAATGATATTGCCTACTACACTTTTTTTATACCTACGCAGAGGTATAGTGGATAAATATATATATAATATAATATTTACTTAATTATCATACAAATTGCGTTTACAATGACAGTATATTATGATCTGTTACGTAACGGAGAGCGCTTCTTTTATCTGAAAATTCCGTACAAATATTTCCTTTTTTATATGTTAGTTTGCTGAGGGGTTTGTGTTACATATGGGTTGTAAATCAATCGGGTTATTGTTTGCTTTTTTTTATTATTATTATTAGTTTTGGGGGTTGGGTTTAGGGGGGAGATGGTTGTTTAGAGACTCTGTGCTTCTTGAAATCCGCTCAATAATCCTCGGGACGATCGGCGCTGCCCTCAATATCCTGATCGACGTCGTCGCCGTCTTCATCGTCGCTGGAATTGCTCACCAAATCGTCCGACTTGTTGATGAGTTTTTCTGAAAGCGAATGTGGATCGATATTAGCTGTACAAATCCTTGGAGTTTGGATGCTGATGACTTACCACAAAGAGGCTTAGCGTGAGTGCGGGTATTGGCGAACTCGACACCGTGCTTATCGACGCACCAGCACATTCCAATTGCGTTGTGGCATTGGGTCGGTCTATAATAGCCTTGGCTATCGCAATCAGGTACATAGACTCCTGAAAAAAATATCAATAGACAGTGATGTATTTTGTTTGAATCACGTTTAAGAGGTCATAAACACAAATGTTGCAACATCGTTACTCGTGAGATCAATAAGTGGTAGGAATTTGCCAATAAGTACTATGCATATACATCTCATATGACTACATCTCGAGAAAATCCGATCCGTTTATTGGATTTCTCGAGAAAATATCAATATTTTAAAGAAATGTAAATAGTCGTTTAAGTTCATTCGCATGAACGTACAAACGTACATAATTTGATTATATTGATGCATATATTTCAAACTGATATAGAGATAAATGTAGTGGACAATTGGATAATGAATATTTTCGAGATTTGTATTTTCGTATAACGAACACTCTACATCAGCATTTCTCAACCTTTTGTAGGGCGAACGTACTTGTATATTTATATGGAGTTGTACTTCAACCCAATTGTTTATAACAGTTTTTTAACGCTTTGACACAAGGTGACAGCTGTCATTTCGCCATCCATTAAGAATTAACGAAACCCAATATTGAGACACGCTTCTTTCTATACAGTACAATTGTAAAACTGTCATACCAATAAAAATTAGTAAATCTAGTAAATCTATGATAATAATCCAAATATACGATTTTCGTTACCCCACAGTATACTTTCCTAAGATGAATTGTATACATTTTCCTACTATAAAATCATACAGAAACTAACTGAAACTATGTTGAAATTATTTATTATTGAATACTATCAATCAAATCATTGTTTTTTTTTAATAAGGCAACGATTGGTAAAAATAATACTATGGACGTTAATCAGAAGTTTAAAGTGAAAGTGATGTATGTTTATGTAATTACCATTCAAAATTGCTTAGAAAATTTTAATTACTATATGAAATTCAAAATATGGTTTCATAATAAGTTTTCATTAAGTAGATTTAAGCAATTATATACAATTAAATTTCATTTTTCGCATTCCAAAATACTTATTATCTTTACATTAATAATAGAATGTATTAAGTTGTAACAATCATAAAAGTATTGCTCTCATGAAAGATTACAAAACGGTAAGTCTAGTTTGATAAGTTTACTTTAAAAGCGTGTTTATGAAAATTTCTATCAGCTTTACATAAATTAATGTCTTTAAGGATTTTAACTTCCATTCTGTTATTTTCATTATAAGATTAAGTAATTGAAAGATATGAATTATATTTTTCAAATGATCATTTTTACACTTTAGAAAATCTTTTGGAAAAGTATGAAGACGTTTTGAATCTTACCAAACAATTCAGGTGTGATTTTGCGCTTGACGGCGGCGCAAGGTCTTTCCGTTCTCTGGAAGCATTTGCACCATTCGGCCGGGGTCACGGTCACATCGTTGTCGACATCGCACTGCTGCAAGAAGGGCTTCAAGCAGACCTCGCTCTGATCGTGCTCCAGGTCGTACAGCTCTTGCAAGGACAATCGTGAATCGGCGTTCAAATCCAAATGCTGGAACATCCATCGCACCTCACCCTTGCAGAGTGGTGGGAAACGAGCTACAAAAAGACACATAGAATTAGTATCAAAGACCTTGGGGAATCGACATACATAAGAAATGATAATATTTTACATATATTGTATAATAAATTCAACGTTAATTCACATTGTAAGTGTAATATCTATATATTTTTTTATATGCCCGTTACTTTTAGTTTTGATAAGTTTTCTATGTGAAAAAAGGAAGACGTTTTGAGCAATCAAGCGAACGTGCAAGACGTTTACTATAACGTCTTACAAATTACATAACATGTATTTTTATAATTGTCATAAAAATATATTATATAAGTTATATAAATACTAAAATTGTAATTGAATCTCACATATTACCAATATTTTTCTATTTACAAAACGTTTCTTTTTAACTATTTAATACAATAAATTGTCATTGAATCATATCAGATAAAATTATATAAAATAATTCTGCAGTTTTTATTTACAATTTAGTTATAATTTTTTAGTTATTGTTATTAAGAAAATGATTTAAAATTGATTGATTGAGATAAGGACAACTGCTTGTTGTAAACAAATTTATGCAGAGACATCTGAAGTTCTATTTGTACTGAGTGATATACATTGAGATGGATGTGTTTACTAGGCACAAGTTGTAAATTATTGCGGTCCTGAGAGTTATTTTCTTAAGAGTAAAGTTTGACGAACGTACGTTTGGATTTGGGCTTGGGGCGCCTCCTCTTGGAAGAGTCGGCCATAACAACTGAGAACCAATCCAGAAGACGATTTCCCATTGCTTGCAGGGCGACCGGAGAGCATTGCTTCGCTGGCGGAGTGGCAGGAATCAGACCGATGGAATTCCCAAAGTACTTGTTGTCCGTCACCTCGTTGTATCCCCTCATCCTATCCTTGTCCTCGGCGTACAAACCGTTGTTATCCTGCAAATTGAAACAAAAACGTGAATTACAAACAAACTTTGTTCAAAGCTCTAGTTTCATTTTTTTTTATGTTTTGAGAGCGCGTGGTAATTAGGAAACTTTTGCACTGAAAACGTTTACGTTTTTCCGCTCCGCTTCTCTACAGAATTGCCGAAGATGTAAAAGCGCGATTCCAATTTATTTTCTCTTTGCAAAAGGTCCACGAACTTTGCCGGTCGCGACTTGCGTAAATGCAGACTGTTACAATTCACGGCTTTACGGAAATTTAGTATGAAATAAGCTTTGGTGTCTTCAATAAGGAAGAAGCGTTTGGAGACGGGAGAGTGCTTTCATATTTGCACGTGCTGCAGCTCGATAAATTGGTGGATAGGACACGTTCCTCGTGCGCCGTATGTTCTTATATTCTCGATTGACGTCAACATCTGGCGTCGTCGCGTTCTCCTCTCACCTGTGAAAGATGAATCTCGACACCAATTATTTCATCTTTCCTTAACAAGTAGCACTGCAGTATAACGTTAAGAAATACCAATTAGAATATCAAAAGCACCTCGAGAATTTATATGTATATCAATTACAGTACACTCCTCTTGCATTTTGATTTTAATAGAAAAGATAAGGCATTCAAGCGCACTGTTCCATTACATTACTTGTATATACCTTTGCTGTAGCAATTTCCAGTAGTTTAATTTACATGGCCAATGGAGTGATATGGCTCGAAATTGGATCGGGCGACGCGATCACGACACGACAATCTCTTCCTGCAAACCACCCACCAAATTTGCCCTTACGTCCTGTGCAATGAACCACTTCATTCCAGGTATTTTCTATATGTATATATACACACACATCTACAACTAAAAGCAATTTCCTTCAGTCTCCTCCGTCACTTTGAATTTACAAATCCAAGTCCCAGGAGACACCAATTCAATTGTATGTTAAATTATACTCAATTCCATGTTTTAAAGGTGAATTTAACACTTTGATATACGAATAAAATTTAAGTTACGTAACGAAAAAAATACAGATTTTGTATAGTTCCTTTAGCATTTAATTCTTTCATAAGTAAATAATTTAAGAAATACTAAATAGTACTTTGTTTGCTGCATATCTATTTGTTTCTCTTACTATCATTCATTAGAAAAGTCATTATTCAGTACTTGTAGGAGGTCACAAAGAAGTGTTTAATTTGAATATATCTTATTCAAAACCAAAGCGTTGATCCCATGATTTTCATTAAATGGCTTTATATTATTATCCAATTCAATTATTCCATACTTTCTGTCGAATTTGTTTATCACTTCAGAAATTTCGGTTGAACTACTTGCTACACTTTCGTTAAAAAACTAGCTTACCGTCAACATTATTATTATTATTAGTGTTTATTTCTTTACATATTTTACATATTTATAACTTTAGTAGTTATTATTTTTTCTGCGTAATTCTAAAATAAACTTTAGACGTCTGGGACACGTCATTGTATATCAAAGATTAAGAATAATGAAGATAATATGGTTTTTAACTCATCTTCAAATGGTCTGAAAAAACTCATCAATTTCGGAATATATCAATATTGATTGTTTATTTCATACCTTAGATAAAACATTTCTTTTACATTACATTCATGAATGTGTATTAAGACACGTTAAGAAGAAAAAAAAAATGAAGAAAACTTGAAGGAATTGTAACGAATAAAAGATTAAAGTTTCGAGAATTACCAAAGATTTTAGAAATTTCATTAACATTTGTGTATCTGTAAAACTGAACAAAATAAAAAAAGAGGAGATTGGAAGAATGAAATTAATTTCATATTTTTTTTTTGGATTTTGTGAATTAATAGTAAATAAAAGTGCAATAATAGAATAGTAGTATTAAATATTATTAAGCGATACTTTTAAATAGTGGATGACAGGCAAAGAACATCATCATAATTGCGTTTTTCGAGGAATTATTTCCATAAACTGGTTAGAAAATAAAAGAAGTATACAAGTATTATGTAAACTCCATAGAAAAACAAAATATAGACATTTTATAGAGAAACTATTGACCAGAATTCACTCATCAGGCTTTTTACATTTATAAACCCAGTATGTTTTAGAAATTATCAAAAACGGTATTTTGAGTTTTAATGGATTAGATTTCTCAAATTTTAATAAACTATATGCATTGTGTTGACTAAATTATGTCTATTTTCAAAATCTTCTGACTGTTGTTATAACAATAATACACGTATGTTTTCCATTGCCGAATGAACGAGCGTAAGAAAAGGAAATCGTCGGAATGAGCTCTAAAAAGCTATAAATAATTCTTATTGCCATCGTGTCAAGCAGTTCTGTTGTGCAATATTCCGCTCCGCCACTTAACGATGGAGAGTGCACACTCGCCCGTACACAAAACAAAGCACAAGGAGGCTGCGGAGAAAACAAAAGCTCTCTCTTCTTCGCAGCCTTCTCGTGCTGATGCTTCTTATTCTCGCGTCGCGTTGCCATTACCATTGTTGTCGTTGGGTTAGTTAAGTAGATGGAACTGACCTTGTTGTATTTAGTGTACTTGATGTACTTGTAGTGTTTGTTCTCGTATTTGAAGTCCTGCGGGGTGAACGTGTAGACGTCAGCCTTGGACGGAGGCTGTGCGGGCTTCTCTCCATTTATCGGACCCGTCACAGTTCCAGCCTTATCGAGGGTTGCTTTGTATTTGTTCAAGAACGAGTTCAAACGTTCCTGTTGCCTTTGCTTCTTCCTCAAATGAATTTCTTTGTCTATATTGAGGAAAAAAAGAGAAAGAAACAAAACATTAGTTTCTATTATTTATAGTTCAATATATATGTTTGTATAAAACACTTTATGATAAAAAAAAAATAACAAAATGTATGCCTGATTGATTATGTTAAAAAGTAATAGGAAAAACTCAGCTAATACCGTGATAACACGTGTCACTTGTAAGTGTTTTACGTGTTCCTCAATATCGCAAAATTAACCGAATTTTTCCTATATATTTTCCATAGTAGGAACATACCAAGGGCTGGATTGTCGTAAAGAAACGGATAGAAATATTGAGTCGCTTCATTACCTAGAATTCAGTAGAATTTTTAATCAATATACCACAAATTGTGACAATTTATGAAGATAAAATATTTCATAGGATTTGTTCTAAGTTTTATAGATATTATTTAAATGTTCAATAATATTAATAAGTTTACAAATTTATATTCTCAAAATCTTTGATAATTGCTTCAAGTTTAATTACATAATGAAATTTGTAAATCGAAGACTAATTATTGATCAATAAAATAGTAAAACTACTGATTAATTCGATATTCAAGGATATTGTATTGAAAATTTGAACGAATAAAAGATACATTTTTGATTAAAGAAAATAATTACAAAAAAAAATCATTAATTATTTGGTAATAAAGTGTATAACGATTTTGGTCAAGATTATATGAGAATTCTTTAGGTATTGAAATTTGTTATTCTAACAAATCATTATTTGTAATAGGTTTATTAATTTTGATAAGCTCTTATAGGTTAATTTTATGACATGTTAAATTCATTAAGAAAATGTTTGTAATTGTGAGTGATTGGATACAGATTAAAATCTTTTCTTAATTAAAACTTCTAAATTTTTATGAAATATTTTACTATTGAATATGAGTATGGAAACGTTCGGGTGATTCGAATGTATGGATTATTATTAAGCACTGAAACTAGGATTTGCGAATTGAAAAATACGCTGAAACACAACAGCCAGAGAGAGAGAGAGAGATATGTCCATTTGTTCTTCTCACATTGTCTCTGATACAGAATTAAATAAATGTGTGCATTGAGTTGAACGTGTTGCGAATCGTGTGTTTGGATGGAACACATACGAAAGCGCCTTTTGTTACCAAATCCCATTATCGGTTTGTTATTTTACGCGACAACCTCCCCCGATTAATCTGTTACAGTGGAAAACGTTACGCATTGTTTGTTTTCATCCTCTCGTGAAACCTGAAATGCTTTTACATTTCTTTAAAAAAACAAACCCACCGCACGTATTCATAATTTGATTGGCATTTACATTTGCAAGAAGCCTTTTACTAAAGGGTCGCCAGAGGAAAAGCAAAAAAGCGACAAATGTCCAATGCAGGTTGTTCAACCCTTTACGAATTATTTCATTACATTCATTCTTTAGTAAAAGCGAGAATTTCTAAAGTGAGAAATAATGAATTGTTTGCATTTGTAAAGCGAGGAATTCGTAAAGTGAAAACTCATTTCTCAATACGCCTGATGTTTGCTTGAACGCATAAACTTATTAGTAGAGAAATACTGAAATTTTCTATTATTTCTCAAAGAATCATGATGCTAATCCACGTACTAATATATTTGAATTTGTAGTGTATTGTAATAATATTTCTTTTTTTAGAAAATTATTTAATTTACTTTATAGATTTTCAAACAAATGTATTTGTTAATTAAAAATTGATTAAAATTTGAAATAACTGCTATATGTACATTGTAATAAATTCTATGCATATCATTACAAATTATGGACAAATTTCTCCATAATTTCTTTATAATTATTATGCATTCATTTATACAAATTGATCTTTTATGATGTTATAGTTCAGTTATTTCAAAATCAAGGCAGTTTTATCCATTATGCACAGTGTCTAGGACCCACAAGCTTTTTAGGAACCCACGAGACTTTTGGGGGCCCAAAAACAAATATTTTTTATCCAAAAAAAATGAAGTATTAAACATTGTACATTTTATCATTTTTAAATTAAGCTATCAATATACTAAAAACTTCAATTAATTAAATGCTAAATTAAACTAATAATTATAAAATCAAGTTATAAAATTTCTAAACAAACTATTAGTCTTCAAAATGTACATATTTTTTTGAAATTTTACCAATTTTCTTAATAAAACAAGTAGACTCCATTCAATTGAAACAAAACTAATTTTTCCACTTTATTTCAATAATATCTATATTATACTTAATTAATTTTGTAAAGTTTGAATTTTGTTCAAATTTTTGTAAAAACGAAGTTTGGAATTACCATACACAAGCATATTCATTTTTTATGCAAATGTTGAGAATGAAGACGAAATTTAAAAAGTTACTATCGAAAAATGTTAAGGAACGAAGATCTAAAAAGGATTTGAAATGATAGTGAAAACGTTCTATTCTTTTAGTGAAAATTATCCTGATTTACAAAAAAAATGTTGTAGTTAAATGTAGTTAAATTAAACAGAAAAAAGGAGAAACAATCAATTTTAAACTCATATTTTAAAAATGTAATTTCACTTTGAATTTTTGCGAAGTATCGTTTAATGAAATAATTTCATGGAACGTAAAATCTATTGAAAGTTTCAAACGAATATAATATAGATTTCAAATATATGTATTTAACAAAAATTGATATTATACTATAATATAATCAAAGAGTAGTTCAAAGTAACAAATTTGTGAACTAAAATTCAATTTTGTAAAGCCTCTGATGACCGAAAACAATAATCCGTTTGAATTTTTGTAAAAACGAAGCTTGGAATTACCATACACATGTTTATTTTTTTTATTGCGAACACTGAAACTGAATAATGCAATTACGTTTTCATTTTTTTTTTGTTACCTTTGCACGGGCAGAATCCCTTGCATTCGACCTGAATTGTGGTGTGATGAATGCAGTTGTGATAGTCCAGGCGACACAAAGAGCTGTAGGTCCTGTTGTCGCTACCGCAGAGGAACGTGGGTTTTACAACCGGACACGTTTTGCATCTGCAAAAAAAAAACAGAGAAAATGGATTACATAAAATGTAGGTAGAGTAAAAAGAAATAATTAAAAAAAACAACGTGGAGAGCTGCAGGAAATTAGAGGTCCTTGTTGCTGCGCTCCGCGGTTCGCTAATAATTTTTATATAATTTATTTCTTGCGCGTTACGAAAGAGACTGCACTCCCTAATGTATACTTAATTCGCTTTTTATTGTGGGAAAGGCGGAAAGTGGAAAAAAAACGGGAGCGAGCGAAGGACGTAAAAGTAAATGAGACGGAGAGAGAAAAGTAAGGTCGCCGACCCGGCGCATCCACCAAACTTTACTAATTACTTAACATGAATTTGATTACAACAAACCTCCTAATTTCACCAACATTAACAATTGCATTTGCATAGTTTATGTAAAAAGGTCTGCTCATTACCCTAATACTGAGGGTAGTAAAAAAAAAGCTTTAAAACCTCACAGTATTCAAATACTGAAACAGATTATTACATTAAACAATTATTTATTTTTAACTGAATAGAAAACAACAATTACTAAATTAAGTTTTAAAATTTCTAAACAAATTGATGGTCTTCAAAATGTACATTTTTCTTATTCTAAGCCAGGGATTGGCATTTTTTACCTATTACCCCAAAATTTATCAGAATTATCCCATTATAAGGATTAGTTTTATTTTTATCATGGGTCTCATCATTATCTCAAATAATTCAATTTTACCCAATTTGGGGGTAAGTTATCCCACCCAGTTTGTAAACCACTATTCTAAGCAAACTTTACTAATTACTTAAAATGAATTTTATTACAACAAACCTCCTAATTTCGCCAACATTAACAATTGCATAGTTTATGTAGAAAGTCTGCTCATTACCCTAATATTGAAGGTAGCAGCAATAAAGTAAATAAACCAGGGGTCGGGGATTTAGTTTATATATTATCCAAAAATACGTCAGAATTACCCCATTATGAGGAGTATTTTTTTTACCATGGATACATAAAATTAGCTGAGCTCCTTATTATCTCAAAGAAGTGAATTTTACCCCCTTTTACGTAATGCACTGTTCTAAGCAAACTTTCCTAATTAATTAACATGAATTTGATTACAACAAACCTCCTAATTTCGCCAACATTAACAATTGCATTTGTATAGTTTGTGTAAAAAGGGCTATTAATTACCCTAATATTGAGGGTAGCAAAATAAAACTTCAAATAATTAAACAATACAAATTGATACAAATAAATAAACAATTATATAATTTTCAGTATTTAAACTCGTTTTAACTGAATAGAAAATATTAATATTGTCTTTTTCGACTATTTCATTTACTGATTTATTGCATTTTCAACTAATTGTGGAACATCAACAAAACGAAATTAATCACGATTTACAGAACACGCAGCTGCAATTAGCTGGCTGATTTTCGTTTGTTGCCAGCAAACAAACCGATCATCGATTGTGTTTAGTCATGAGCGAAAACCCATACAAATTTACCAATGACGAACAATTAGATTTTTTTTAACTTAAATTAATTAAACTGATTGCTCTGGTCTATAGATTTCACAATCGTACACTGTATTCAAATATGTGTATTACATATTAGTATACAGTAATAATGCAACAATTTCAATAGATTTCTATTCAGTGATGATATATAATTTAGTAAATGTATACATTTACCACTACATGTACTCAAATACACAAATAAGTATAATATGTTAATATATAGATTTAAAATTATTTCAAATAAGTACATCAATTTTACTAGATAAAGAAATGGCATACAATTTCGTAAATTTAACGTTACCTCTGATAACGAAGCTTTGATATAATGAAATACAATGGTGAATTGAATGGAGAACATAATATAAGATATAGAAAACCTTATTAGCAACAAAGAAAATGAATACAAAATGTAATAACCAAAGATCTAAAAATGTGTTGAAATGATAGTGAAAACGTTTTATTATTTTAATTAAATTAGAAGGAATTGTTATTGTTAAGTACACTTAACTACACAAACAATTAAATGGAAAAACAATCAACTTTAGACTCATATTTTTGAAATGCGATTTCACTTTGTATTTTTGCAAAGTTTTACTTAACGAAGTAATTTAGTAAATGTGTACATATACCACCAATGGAATATATTATTTTATAAATTAAGAGTAAGAGTATACAATATAGTAAACTTACTATACAATATAAATGTATAAGTAAAATTTTAGTAAAAGTAAGAACTAAATTTAAAAAATTTGTTATTTATATAAAAATATATAAATAGTGAATTTGTTTTATACATACTCGTATATTTTTGTTGTTTTAATTAATTAACCAACAGAAAAGAAAAGTTTAAATTGCTAATTAAAATATTATTAATTCCATATATTTATTACTTTCTAAATACAATTTCTGGTAAATGTGAATATTTCTTAATATTTCTTATATATGCTTTCCATGAATGTAAATAATAGTTTTCTGTAATATTTTATAGCTTTTGCTTTATCTTTGGTATCACATTTAAGAGAATATAGATTAATTTTGAATTTAGGAAATTAATAAATATATTAAAATATACAAAATTTGTCATTTATATTGTATAAATCTTCTTCTTTTTCACATATAGACCATTATTAGAATTGTCTGTAAAATTGTCAGTATTTCCTTTAATTACTGAAGTATTTATAAAATTGAGTAAAAAAAATAAATAAAACTGACAAATCATTTAGAATTTTATTTCAATTTTGATATATCTCCTACAAGCTGATCTATTACATATTGACTGAGCTTACATAAAGAGCTTCCCATTCATACATCCTACATTTAATATCAGCACATTCGACCTACATTTCAGAGTGAACGATAAACCTTTGTTGCGGTTTACCTGATGCGACTCTGTTCGAATCGAAATTCCCTATATTATCCAAAGAAGATTAGAGCTGCAGTGCGGATTCCGATGCCGGAATTTGCACATTAATCGAAGAAAATCCGCGGCAGACAGCAAAGGATATCCGAGCATTAGATATTGGAATCAATTGCATTCACACACATACACCACAGTCAGTACTTCATACCATTGGAGCCAAGAAGATAAGACCGGAGATCCAATTAATGGCCGACACGTAATGCACCTAACTTGCATATTAACTGCCGATCTCAAGCATTCCGCAATTCCACTTTGTGTTTCAATGATAAAGCAACTGTTTGGTGGTTCATTTTCTAAGACAAGACAAGTTTACCATTATACAGATATCATCTAATATATGGATGTTCAATAAAATTATTGGTATTGTACATATATTGTTGTTAATTAAGATATAGTAATAAAGAGAATTTATGATCTACAAGATTGCAAAGTGGATGATTTCTCTGGAAATTTTGATTATAATAAAGTAATACAGCAATACCTTTAACAAAAGTACTGGTAATCGGTTTCGACATTTCCCATACTAAGTATGTATACTTATAAACCACGTATAAAGACGACCATAGCCATTGCACTATGAGCCATTGCATCTATTTAAAATAGATTTCTTCAAGTTTTAGACATTTCATTCAATAAATTGTCTACTATTTTTCCTTCTTATACATCATTTTAATTTTAACTCTATTACTAAGTTCATCTACTTCAGTACTTTCATCTTGAAATCATTTGATTTATATTTTAAATGTCATTTGGTTTGGTGTATTTTTAAATTTTAATTTAATTATTTTGTTCGACTTCTGAATTTTTAGTCGAGTTTCATTTTTTTTTACTTTTAATTTTTATTGAAATCGCTCTATTGTTATTTGATTTGGTCTATTTTTAAATTTAAATATAATTCATTTGTTCAAGTTCCGAAATTTTGTTCGTGTTTCAAAATTAAATTTTCCTATTGTTTCAAGTTGTTTGGACATAAAATCATTCATTTGTTGTTGAATTTGTCGTTTATTTGCATTTTTAAACAAAAAGCTTTGCAATTTGATAGGAAACAAAGCGGAACATATGTAACGGCCAGAACGTAATTATATCCAACAGAATAGATTTATATGGGAAGTGGGGAGGGTTTATCGATATACGAGCTGCGCACACAGTGAAATGTATTCTGCATAATGGATATATCTGTGCAAAATAAATATCGACGCGTTGCATAATCGCGAGAGCGGCGTAATTATGATGGATGGACTTGGGCGGAGGCAATTTGCGCCCCTTGTGATCGCATCCATATGCGGCTGGCCCGAATTCCGCAAAGGCTCGTGCAGTCACAGCACGGTCTGCAAATTGCCTTTGTTCACATATTATTGACATGGAATTTCGTTGAAGCATTTACCTAACAAGCGAAACCGTTTCACCTGAGGGCAAAACCACCCTTTGTTATTGTTAATGAAGAAAAATTAACCTTAATTTTAAATTACAAATAATCGCCCCACTTTTTTTGTGATGAGGTTTACGTTTTTTCACATGATGAATAATCGTTTACGAATTATAACAGATTTAAACACATATGATCTGTTGTGATAATCAATATGATAATCACTTGGATTAGGTAAAATTATCAATGTTTAATAGCTTTATCCACTTATGAAATAAGATATTAATATAAAAATTCTAATATTTCGTTGTCTTTATTTACTTATTTCCTACATTTTTTTTTAAATTGTATTTCTTTATAAAATTATATAAAATATTTATGTAATACTTTTCATTCATCGTATTTTATAATAATGTAGACCACTTTCCTAGGTAATTTTGTTTTTTTTTAAGTTCGAGAAAACTTATAAGAAGTGTAAGTTACTGAATTTGGACTGGCATCTAGAACTTTTAGTACTTTTCATAGGTTCATAAAGATTCACAAGATAAATTGGCTTGTAAGTTCTAGAAATGTATTAGTTGGTTTTGCTCCCACAGCTCATTGTGATGGATGGACTTAGGTGGAGATAACTTATAAGAAGAGTAAGTTGCTGAATTTGGACCGGCGCCTAGATTGGACCTCTAGTATAGTTCACTCATATTCAAATATATCAT